CCTGTTTCTTGGAAACATATCTACAAATTATACGCGCACACAAAGCGTATCCAATTTGTGACAAGTTAATATGTTATTAAGGACCCTACCCTTCACAATACAAAAAATTTTCCACATTTCCATTTAAGAAAAGCCATTAAGGTTTTTAGGGCTAAGAAAAAAGACCATATTTCCCCATTAATTTAATTAGGATAATTCCGCAGTCTACCCGAATATTACCGATATTTACAATTTTCCAAGAAAAAATTTATTTTAAAAAAATTAAGGGGGGATTTAAAATTTAAGAGTTAAAGCTTAATTAAACAATGGTTAAATATGGAGTCTAATTGGCAACCAATGCCCCTTATGAGTAAACTTATGTTCCCCACCATTAAATGCTAAATGGAATTCAAAAAGATATCCGTTTCGAAAATTTTATAAAATATTATTCCCTTACCAAAATAAAATTTGTTTAAGATAAAAGAGTCGAAAGTGTTTGGTCGTTTTTCTTCAGAAGACTGGTTCTTGTTAAAGTCAAACATTGATTGGTTTTTAGACTCTAAACCAACTCAACATAATTGGCAGGGAATATACCTTCACTAGTATTTACTCTACCAGTCCACCAATCGTCCTGAGAATCGGATTTTTTCAGAATTGTAATTACATCACCTTTCTTAAATCTTAGATCTCCAGATTCTTCACCGGCAAAACTATATAAGGCAATTGCTTTTGGAGTTGAAGAAGATTGGCGTGTACCACCAAAGCTTGGTTTTTCAGCAGCTGGTCTAGAATGAGAATCGCGATCACGATTTTGAGAAATTCTGCTTTTGGAAAATCTGTTTGATAAGTCATCTACATCACGGTTACGGCTACTGCTGTCACGATCGTAATCACGATCATAGACCTCATCTTCCCATCTGGTGTTTGTCCTTGGAGCACTACGCCTATTTGATGATCTTCGTTGACTAGCATAATAGTCTCTTGCATCTGATCCTTCTCTATCATCTGAATAATAATCATCATCTCTAGTTTGTCTTCTTCTGCCATCGTCAAAACTGTCGAAATCATCATCAAAATCATCATAACCACCACGGCCGCCACGAGAGCCACCTCTAGATCTTCTTGAATAACTGGATTGATCTCTATCTCTGTAGGAATAAGAATCGTCATTTGTACCGAAGGAATCTGGGATGTCATTATAGAATTCACTACCTTCATCGAAATCGTCATCGTAGCGGTCATCACCACGTTGGTCAAACCCAAAAGCTCTGGATTCTAGAACACGGAATAATGGGTCAGCATGAGGAGGTGCTCTAATTCTACCGGAAAGAATCATTTTAGTTGTACATTTATTACCATAAAACTTTCTATTAGCCTCTCTTCTTTCAATAATGACGGAACCTTCAAGTGATACACCTGCAAATAGACCTTTACTTTTAGAATAAGAATAGACCGATGAAATGGCACCGGTAGAGGCAGTTGCAGCGTATTCAGCAGTTCTACCTAGTGGACCTGCTGAGACGGAGACGTTACCACCTAAAGTAATTGTACCGAATTCTGAGAAAGACTTGACGGCGTCCTTAGTATTTAGAATGAAGACGAAATCTGTCAATTCTACACCGACCATACCACCGGCACCACCACCGGCCAAACCGATTGCAGAAGGAGCAGACCAAGAACCGTCTGGTAATCTTGCCACTATGACACCAGAACCCGCTCTACCAGAGAACAAAAACCCAGCTTTGAGCACAGTGATGATTGCCAAACCTTTTGCCTTCCTCAATACATGGGGTGGGATGACTTGGTCGGCACCGAACACTTGGTTAGGTTTGACGAAACTTGCCAAGACTTTAGCAGCTTTTCTGTATTAAAAACATGAATTAGGCACCAAAATGCTTTCCCCCAAAATAAGAGGGAAGATACAATAAAACAGTGCGGTTAAAATTAGAGTTAGTAAATGTCATTTCAACTGAGTATAGAATAAAATTGGTTTGAATCGTATAGGAGGCAAAAAGAAAAACCATATAAAAGTGGGATAACTTGTTGAGGAGTTGCAAATATGGATGTGAGAAGTGGGACGTTTCAGGAGGGTGGAAGGGTACTTAATTTGAAATTGTAACAATTTAGATGTTCCCACGTAATATAAAAATTTCATGTATTGCGACAATCCAGTTTTCTCTTGATATAGCAATGGTGAGACCACCACGATTCAAATGGGGGAATAAAATAAAATTATAAGAATTGAACATACTTTGTTTCTGATTTTAAACTTCTTGGAATTGGATTATTTAGACCCATTGTTGAAAGGTATTACAGTTTAGGGAGTATCTAAGTTTGATCTGCCTGCAATCCAACTAAACACAGTATCTCTTTATATACTGGCGACTATGAAGAAATATGTCGACAAGCAATAAGAGCAAACTGAAGTAACAACAACTTAAAGGGCCAAAAAAAAAAATAATCAAAAATTGCAAGTTGTTATATTTATTCTTAAAATGGGCTGAAATGTATTGTGAAGTGAAATAGTGTTAGGCTTAACCATTGTTCAAGATGGATAATGAAATTTCGAAATTCGTTCGAAACTCGAAATTCGAAATTCGAAATTGGAAAACAGGGAAAGGGAAGGGAAAGGGAAACGGTGATGATGAATTCGGTTTGTTTCGAAAAGAGCCCATAACTAAGAAGAAGACGTCGTCATGATGGACGGTACCGCATTTCTAGATAGTCGTTCTGTTGGGAAAGGGACGGGACGGGACGGAGAAGAGCGAGTCGAGAGATAAAGAAGGGAAGTTTTTGATGATGCGCCAGGAGAAGAGAGGTCCCAACGTCTGAAAGGCCAGTGTGTGTCGAGTGTGGCCAGAGAGAAAAACAGATGCGTAACTGTATCATCTCTAACTGTAACATAGCTGTCTGTCAAGCCTTCTTAGCAAACAATCCGGGTAACCGCACTCCCCCTATTATTACTGCTATGCTTGCCTTTGCACTCACACGGCCCAGAGGTCGTCTTTCTTTCTCTGAGGGAAGGGAAAACGCTTCTGGAAAAAACCGCAACAGGCGGAGAGGACCCACAGGACAGGACGGGACAGGACAGGACAGGACAGGGCACGGGACCAGAAAAAACATAAAAAAAGCCTCGTCTCGTCTGGGCGATAGGCGAACAGGTCAAACAGAGAGACTCGCATTCGCTCACTATACAATTGTGTGTGTGTGTGTGTCTTGATGCATCTTATAGTAGGTGAATGCGTCTCTTTGTCCAGGGAAATAGCCGCCGATGTTTGTTTGTCCTGTGTTGCTTTTCTTTTCTTTTTCCTTGTTATGTCTTGTCTTGAGGGAAAACAAACGTGACTAACTGGGAAAAACGCCCGTTCCTGTATTTCGTTTTGCAGATCCACACGTTAAAATGGAACAGTACTCGTCCCACCGGCAACTGGAAACAACACACAGATCTTCTTGTGTTTGGCAACTGCTATTTCCAGGTAATAAGGGATGGGATAACTTGAGTGAGATTCCATCTCTGTTCTTCTCATCATCATCTTCATCATCAACTGTTACTCTCTTCAATGTGCCACAAACGATAATGCTAAAACACACACAGACACACACTCATTGAAAACAGGCAATAAAAAAGGATACGGTACAATTCGAGTCTGATGCGATGAGATGAGATGAGATGAGATGAGATGTGTTCGTGCTGGCACAGGTATGCTCGGAAGGGGTGAACAGGCAGGGTAACAGAAGGAAACCCATACCACGTTTCTTTTCCGAAGTTCTCCATCGTACTTTCACCCCATTACTATATGGGGAAGTGTGCTTCCGATTGAAGCGAAGTTTCCTAGAACAGGAATTTTTCTATATGGGTATAGTCTGTTTCCAGATATGGTACTTACTTCCTGTTATAGTAACCTATTACCGTGAACGGAATAAATAGTCTTTTTTTTTGGGTTTCTTAAGCCCCAGAACAAGCAAAGAAATTTATACAAAATACGTAATTTATCAAAAAAGACTTATAATAAATAAATTTCAAACTTCGATGAGAACTCGATTTATATAAACTTTTAATCTACTTTAATGTTCGAAACACATTTTTCAGAATGAATAAAATATTTAATTAATTGATTGGGTTGGCTTGGATTGGATTTGAAACTTCTATAACTTCTGTTTGGATCTGCTCTCTCTAGGATCCCTCTTTTGCGAGAAGTTAGATCGATTTGTCAAGGTTCCCATCCATGTCATGAATTGATAAAAATTAAATAGATACACATGTATTGTTGAATAATGGAATCCCTAATGACATTCTCATTTTATTTCATGCTCTCTCTCTACATGAATGAAATTCTTTAGTTCATATCGGGTGATTGATTATTTAGAACCAAACCGTCATCATGGGGAGAGAATCGAAAAAGAGACCTCTGTTCGAAACCGAATTGGAATCGCATCCCCATTCATTGTTCTTTTCTCTCTCTCTTTTGCTTTCTTCATACTTGATTTATTGTTGAAGATTCGATATGAATTAGAGAAACTGTGACGTAGTCAAGAGCCAGCAGCATATATAGGCATATATATATATACGGCATTTCGAAAAACAACGTCGAATATAGGGATCACACTAGTTAATTTGGTACCTAGTTATTGTAACTGATTTTCCCTGTTCCGTGCAAGATACCCATCCATCGAGTCTACTATGCAGTCTCTCTGTAACTGAAAACCAAATCAAATCAAATCTACTGACGTTCATTATATGACATGGCATTCAACTACAGACAAACTAAACGACCACCTGTACAATGACAAGTTCTAGCCACTCTGATCTACGATGCTCAGCATTGCAGGTTGTATACCTAACTGATGTCATTTATACTAATGATATACCACTGGAGGCACTCAGACTTCTTTATGAAATTACTTGGATCATACTTTCACCAGATATCACCATAAACGAATACACACTATACAATTATATTTTTTTGTTTGAATTTTTTTTTTCAGTTTGGTCATCCAAACATCATCGAATTTCAATCTCATCAAGCTTTGAAAATTTTGAACAAAGAAATGAACATTGATGAAAGAGAGAGAGATTTGATTTCGATGAGATGAGATGGGATCAGAAAAGATGTAAAGAGCATTTATATCCAGTGGTTTATCAGAGATTCGTTTTTATTGTACTTTTGTTAACTTTGGTTTTGTTTCGGTTTATATAGAATCACTATTGATCAAATCAGCAAAATAATTAAAAGTTTGAAACAAGATTGTGTTTTTACCTTTAATCTGACAAGTGTTTAGATCTATTTTAATATACAAGAGATATAACAATTTGTTTTCCCTCTCTCTCTCTTCTCTTTTTTTGTTAGATTAAGTAAATAATATCAAATAAAAGTAACTTAAAGTAAAGGAATGTCTGTTGAAGAATCATTTGCTAAATTGTGTATGAACGAAACTCCTCCATCTGGTGCCGTCGCTGTTAAATCTTTGGTTTTTAAACCAAAGACCGCCAAGACTGCTACCCCTGTCCCAGTGGTTGTCATTGCATTGCATACTACTAACACCCCTTCTGGTGTAGTAGCTTTAGAGTCAGGTTCTAAAGACCCAAGATTGGCTCGTGATGAACTTTTTGCATCTTTCTTTAAATGTGAAACTGCTAAAAAATTCACTTTGGCTCATTTAAAGAATGCCGAATCCCCTATCTCTGTCTTGATCGATGATCAATTAGTTAACATCGATGACTCAACTGTCTTACAATTAAACGATGAATTATCAATTAAAAAAGATTCTTTATTCGAATATTTGAAAGATTTCGAATCCTCATCAAAGATTGTTAACTTTGCTCAAGAAGTTAAAAAGGAAGAACCAAAGAAAAAGGCCCCACAAGCTCAAGCTAATGCTGCAATCGAAGATGCCAAGTTGATTGGTATCACCGTCGACAAGGCTTTAGATTTCCCAGGCTGGTACTCACAAGTTTTAACCAAGGGTGAAATGTTAGATTACTATGATGTTTCTGGTTGTTACATCTTGAGACCTCCTTCTTACGCTATCTGGGAAGCCATCCAAAAATATTTCGATGCTAAAATCAAAGGTTTAGGTGTTCAAAATGCTTATTTCCCAATGTTCGTTTCGTCTCGTGTCTTGGAAAAGGAAAAAGATCATATTGAAGGTTTCGCTCCTGAAGTCGCTTGGGTTACAAAGGCTGGTCAATCTGAATTAGAAGAACCAATCGCTATTAGACCAACTTCTGAAACTGTTATGTATCCATACTACGCTAAATGGATCCAATCTTACAGAGATTTACCATTAAAATTAAACCAATGGAATTCTGTTGTCAGATGGGAATTCAAACATCCACAACCTTTCTTAAGAACCAGAGAATTCTTATGGCAAGAAGGTCACACCGTTTTCTTAAATGAAAAAGAAGCTCAAGAAGAAGTTCTACAAATCTTAGATTTCTATGCAGGTGTTTACGAAGAATTGTTAGCCGTACCAGTCGTTAAAGGTAAGAAGACTGAAAAAGAAAAATTCGCTGGTGGTGACTTCACTACCACTGTTGAAGGTTACATTCCTCAAACAGGTCGTGGTATCCAAGGTGCTACTTCTCATCACTTGGGTCAAAATTTTTCTAAAATGTTTAACTTGTCTGTCGAAAACCCATTGGGTCCAGACCATCCAAAAATCTTTGCTTACCAAAATTCCTGGGGTCTATCCACCAGAGTTATCGGTGTTATGGTCATGATTCATTCAGATAACAAAGGTTTAGTTATCCCACCAAGAGTTTCTCAATTCCAAGCCGTAGTTGTTCCAGTTGGTATCACCAAGAAGACCTCTGAAGAACAACGTAAGAAGATTCATGAAGCTGCTAGAGATGTTGAAAGCCGTTTGAAGAAATCTGATGTCAGAGCCTTTGGTGATTACAATGATAACTATACTCCAGGTTGGAAGTTTGCTCAATATGAATTGAAGGGTATTCCATTGCGTGTTGAAATGGGTCCAAAGGATATTGAAGAAAGCCAAGTTACTGTTGTTCGTAGAAACGATTCTCGTAAATACACCGTTAAATTGTCTGAATTGGAAAGCCGCATCCCTGAAATTATGGACGAAATGCACCACGACTTATACGAAAAAGCCAAGGAATCTTTTGACACTCATAGAGTCATTGTTAATGAATGGAAAGATTTCGTTCCAGCATTGAACAAGAAGAACGTTATCTTGGCCCCATGGTGTGGTGTTATGGAATGTGAAGAAGACATTAAGGAAGGTTCTGCAAAGAAGGATGATGGTGAAGAATTCGAACAGGACGACAAGGCTCCAAGTATGGGTGCTAAATCATTATGTATTCCATTCGAACAACCAGAATTAGCCGCTGGTCAAAAGTGTGTTAAGTGTGACCGTGAAGCTAAACAATACTGTATGTTTGGTCGTTCATACTGATCAATTTTAAAAAAAACTAACTGACAGATTCCTATGAAGTTTGGTTTGCTTTATAGCTGTTGAGGCATATATAGATCAATCATATATGTTGGTGCATAATTGTATAATAATTATAGTCACTCATAAATTTGTGTCAATTATTTAATGACTCTCAGTGCATAGAAACTGAATGTCTATGTAGTGTGGTCATTTTGACCGTGTGTATTAATCGAAAAAAACAAGAAAAATGAAAGCTTGAATTAAAAATTGATCATCCTTGAGTTAATATATATGCTCCAGTGGTAACTTTTGTTGATTAATCTTCCACTAATGTAAGAACTTGATAGAATACGTTTATTATCATTTCAAAAAAAAATAAATTGGACGAGTCCGGAGTCGAACCGAAGACCTCTCCCATGCTAAGGGAGCGCGCTACCAACTACGCCACACGCCCATAATTTGATATAATTTAGTTAATAAAATATATAACTAGTTACATTGATCAAGAACAAATCATAATCGTTTTACCATTTTTAATTCTTCATAACACACTATTTCACTATAGCTAATCATTTACCGTTTATATTTATCGTTTTATGCAACGAGTAAACTTAAAAAAGGCCGATTCATTTTAGAGGAAGTTCAAAATTATCAAAAAATTGGTTAGAATTATTAAAGAAATTACTACATAATTCAATTTGTAATTTTGATCACCATTCAGAAGTCATTGAAATACAGAAAGGAAAACTTATATTGCTTAAGAGGTCTATTCAAAGTAATCTAGTATAAAGGAAATTTTGCTTTCTCATCCTCTATAATAAAAAGGTAGCGACTTGTAAAATATTAATGAACAAAACATTTTTGATACCTGTACCAGAAAAAAAGTAACCATAGGACTGCAGACATACAAGTCATAAAGTTATTACTAAAGCAAGTATACTTTGGATAATCATTTTTCCATTATGCAGTATTCTGATTTTCTACTAGAGTTGGTTTAACTTCTTCTATGCTTAGAAACTAGGTGAAAAAACTTCAACAGCATAATTAAATTACGATCTAATACCAATTATTTATCGTTCCATCGATTATCAATTACATTAGAGCTCCAAGCAGCGTTGTCATGAAGTATGATTTGATTAACAATGAATAATTCATACTTGAAATAACGCGTAATTCTATTATAAGATGAAATGAATTGAAATCGCGTTAATCACCAACTAGTTAATCTTTAAGAACTGGTACCAATGAAGATATTAGAAGGTATAACCTAAACATATAGATAATGGCAATATATAGATCTAGAAAGGTAGGTAAAAGGAACAGCAATAATGAGACCAAATATGTCCAATCAAAGTTACAATTTGGCAAAAAGGAATCAAAAATAGTCAAATGCCCAAAATGTGAAATGACTTACACTTTAGGTTCGATTGATGATAAGAATGCTCATGATAAATATCATGATCTTCATCTAAAAGGTAGGAAATGGTCTAATAGATGGGGGTCGTTAGTTCGTATTCCTACATTAAGTAATATAGCTGAAATAACACCTCCATCATCATCAAGAGCATCTGTACTAACGACTGGTCTTCCAATTGGAGATAAAGTCGTTATGATACAACCTGATAATGCGAACGAAGTAAAGGCAACATTGGAAATACTAGAGATTGTAAATAACGAGTTGAATGCCCCCCATGATGAGAATGATTTTTGGTCTTTACCAAATGAATCAGGAAGAGCATTCGTATATATTAAAAATGATAGGGCAGTTGGGGTTATAACTATAGAAACTCTAGAAAAAGAGAGGTGTAGGTGGATGGTCTATTCTTCTAAATCTATAGTTGCAAATATTAGACCAAATTTCATTCTTGGAATATCTAGAATTTGGGTTTGTAAGACAGAGCGTTGTCATGGCATAGCCAGCGCCTTACTTGAAGCTGCTAGAAACCATACAATATATGGCAAACCTGTGGAGAAATGGGAGATAGCTTGGAGCCAACCCACTGAAAGTGGTGGAAAACTTGCATCAAAATACAATGGCGTCACCCATAAATCAGGAAAGTTACTACTCCCATGTTACATATGATCACTACTCTATGTAATAAATTTGTTTTGTTTCAAGATATAACTAATTATAACGACATTTGCATTTCATTTCATTTCATTAATATCTATAATCAATTTAATTAACGAAGCCTTTTTAATTATACATAATATAATATATATAAACCATTATTCCAGACTTTAGAACAAGATCATACCTGTTGCTCAGTTACCTAATATATGAATATAAATGATAGTTCAAGATGGTAACTATATGATATCTTTAAGATCTTAAATTTCAATTTTATATCATAACTTGAATAACAATAGTTTATATTAACTTTTAAAATTTATTTCTTAATAATATATAATTTATTGATTAATTATTTGGTGTTTTTTACTCTTCTATTGTCGAAATGCCTTAGACTTATATGTATGGTCTAACAAGTAATGCAATGTATGGAATTACTTTTTAGTGGTACCGCTAATTTTTCTTACACCAGCACTAACTGCTCTCTTACCAGATATTATACGTCTATTCCTAGGTAGGAGTTGCTTTAGTACTATATCATCACTTTGCATCATCTCTTCATCTGAATTATTAGTATCATTTATGCTTGTAGAATTTTGGGTATCTCTATTTTTTTCATTTGTGTAGCCAGCGCTTTTTGAATTTTGTTTATTAATATCTTCGATGGTGTTTGATCCATTTTGCCCTTTACGAGGTTGACCTGGTGAAGTCTGAGGTACAGCCGCAGTTTGAAAACCTGACCCAGTTAGTGCCATCTGTTGAACACTTTTCCTTCTTTCACTAGGTGGAGTCATTGCTAGATCTCTCATTTCACTATCTTCATGCTCAAAATTTGATGGTATCTTCTTGCCTTCCCTCAACCTTTTCTTTTGGATACGGTATTCCTCCAAACTAACCAATGGGTATAAATCTCCTATTATTTCGCTTGAATCCAATGATAATTTCATTGTATATTTCCATTCCCTGAAGTCATTTTGGTGCAAATACAACCAGTGCTGTTGTGGACCAACAACCATACCTGGCCTTATAAATCTCATAAAACCTATACATTCATTGGCAGTAAATCCATGTGTATATATCAAGTGTGCACCAATCAAACAACCTGTCCTACCTAGACCAGCTTTACAATGAACTGCAATTTTACCACCTTTATTAATGATTGTTTCAGCAGCACCAACAAAGTTTTTCACTATTGACATATCAGGACATGTACCGTCCTCGAATATCATATCAATGTGCTGAATGCTTAAGTCTTCAAAATGTTGCTTATTGTACAGATGAGAATTCAATCTAACAACTAATTGGACATTGTTCTTAGAGAAATACTTTAAAACGCTACGGAATGGTTGGTTTAGATGGGACTTCCCTGGGGAAGAGGTAACACCAATTGAACGATTTGACTCTTGTGGAGAAGCAAAAGCAATGAAATCTGGAGTTAACACGTTAAAGTCACCGTTTTCAACACGTTCATATCTTTCATACGTTTCCAAGTTAAAAGATTGAAGATCGATCAGACCCTTTTCTTTTGCTCTCCATACACCATAAATCACGTCTTGGATGGTGATCTCAAAATCAGCATTTGAGTAACCTGCATCTCTGAATGGCATAAATGGAGGATCAACTTGAGCTAAGGGTTGTAAAACTTGATGAGGAGTCCAACCTTGAACTAAAACCATATAACAACATAACATGCATGCTGTATTAGCTCTTTGTCTTGTTGAGGTCGAAGAATAAAAGACGACCGATTTCTTTGCATTCTCAGGGTCATTTAAGATTTCATGAAATATTACAGCAAATCTATACAAGTGCCCAATATTCATAGGACCGAAATCTAAATGAAAGCTGTTGTAGAAGATAGTGTCTTCTACAGTGAAAAAAACCATGTCATCGGTATCTTGTGGTGTGTAATCATAAGCACCCAGGTAAACCCTGCTCCTTAGGAACTCAATGGTATTATCCAAATAAACGCTCTTACGCATATTATAAACAATTTCAATAACTTTATTCGATCAAAGGACTTTCACAATGCTTCGTAATGATAATGATTCAATAATATGTTGAACAGATACTATTCTTTTGATATAAAAATTCTCAATACTTCTATTTCAATGTTAAGATTCAAAAAATAAATTCCTTCAATGGATCTCTGCCAATACTGCTACAATAATTAGGAGTTACAGTGGTAAAATATATTCAAACTGGTATCCAAAAATCGTAACTAAAAGCTTTAAAGGCACATTATATTGCTTCTAATCTAAAATCTCATCCAAAACTGTCTTATTGAACTTTCATCATAAAGCTTTCTTGAATTCATTTATTTACCATATTTCCTAATCAGGACAGCGACTTTTGTTTAAATTCAAAGAAAGATGAAAAAAAAAAGAAATTACACATGGTCACGTGACAAATTACTCCAGAAGGCTCATAATGAAGTTGAAACAGATTTTAAAATGGATTACATCGTTTTCCTAGATTAATATCCTAACTTCAACCAGATTCACATTCTTATTACACAAAAGTTCTATTATTTTGATTTTATTACTCTTTCCTCTTTCACACCTTTTTTTCATCTAATTCAATCAATACCTTTAGAAATATTTGACATTGATTGGTATTGTGGCCCAATTGAACAAGACACAAATGGTAAATTTTTGGTATGTGATTTGAATTAAATGCAAAATTTATAAATATTCTAATAGTAATTATAAGTTTTAAAGTCCATGAGTAAGGAAATTCTATATTCCTTAATTTGTAGGATGTGTGATTTTGATGGATATGAGATTTTACTGTGCCAGTATTTCCTTATTGTGAGGCACATTGATTTTTAGTGGTTTCAAACAGGCTTTTTTAGCTTCAATACCTGTCTCTAGTATATTATCACCATTATGGTTCTTGAGCAGCAATCCATTAAATATTTTATTGCTTTTTGATACAACTTCATTGACCTTTTGATTCTCCAAATACAACTCTTCATATTTTGTTCTTTGCAATTTATTTTGCCTTTCTGACTTGGTATATCTATCCTGAAGGTTTTCAATAATACGAGATAAACCTGCATTCTCTCTTTTTAAATAAGATATCTCTCCGATCTTCTCTTCAATGTCCTTTGATAATTGACAATACTTCATTTTCAAGACACCTAATTCTTGGTTCACCTCTATTAATTTGTCTTGTGTGAGCTCGTTATCTTGTCTAAGATTTTTCAAATCTACCTCTTTGCTAACTATTTTCTTATTTGCCTTTGATAGCTTTTTTTTCAAAGATGTTAGCTCTGATTTTGTTTTGTCAAATTCATTTTTGATGTTTTCACTTTCGAACTCTGTCACTTGCAATCTTTTTAGCGTCTCAGAATTCGTCTGTGTAAAGGTTTCATTCATTTCAGACAACAAAATATTTTGAACATTTAAAGCGCTAACTTTCTGTTCCAGAATTTCACAATTTGCCGATAATTTCTTGTTACATTTCTTAAACTTTTCTTCGCTGTCACCTAGTTCCCTAATTTTTTCTTCTTTTTCCTTAATTCTATCTTCCATAGCTTTCAAGGTTTTTTTATTTTTTTGAAGATCTGTTCTATAAGCAGAATTATTATTATCGAACTCAATAAGTTTAGCTCTTGTAAATTCTAAATTACATTTAGCCTCTTTTAAAACTAATTTCGTTTCAGCTAGTTCATTCTTTAAAGAGCTATTAAGTTCTGCTAGCTTTTGTTGTTCTTGAACTGTTTCCTTTAATTTTCCACTTGCCATTTGAATTTGAGATTTTTCCAATTCTTTTAATCTTACCGTCGATTCATCAAATAAGTTTTTCCAATATTTGACCGTCTCCTGTTGTTCCAATATTTTATCATTCAGTTGAGATTCCAATTTTTGCTTTATGTACTTCGAACACATTTCTTTTGTATTAAATGCATTTGTGATAGAAACACTTAGTCTTTCTAGCTGTTCCTTAAAAGAGATTCCTTCTATGTGTTTTAAATTGACACCACATAAAGTGAACATTCTTTTCACAATTTGTGTAATCTCATCATCTTGAGGATATAGTTTATCTTCAATATCGTCTTCTCTCTTTTTCAAGATAGATTTTTGAGATGAACTTGATTTAGTTAAAATCTTTTGGATACCACTTTTGGAAACTTCTTTATCTTGATCAAATATTAATATTCGATTGCAATCAAAACGAATTTTAGGATTTTTTTCTTTAACAACCATTTTTTCTAAATTTTTATTTGAATTCCTTTGCATTGATTTCTTTATGTAATCAGCTTTTGCTTCTTCCAAGTCCGAGTTTTCTTTTTTGACTTCAAATATTGGAGTGACAATAATGTCATTGTCAGTGAGTGACGCCGAGCTATCGGGAATATTTTCGTCGTTGATCTGCGTATAAACAATATTCCCAGTCATATGTAGTGAAATTATTGCTCTTTTAATCTAGCTTTTCAATTTTAAATATTTTTTTCTGAACTTTTCCCTGAATATATTGATATCTTTAATTTTGTATATCAATTCTTTTCAGTAATGTCACATTACTCAAAATATAGAAGTTTTATAGGGAACATTCTTTAAAATACATTCAAAAGAATGCATGTTTTTAAATAGACACTGATTAAATCTATCATCCACAAACAATGATGTTGCTCCTGATGGAATAAACATTTAGTTTTGGTAATCACAAAAGCATACCATGCACCTCAACTTCTGCTATTGAGCCTCAAAAAGATGCAGTCCAATAAAAAAACACGACAACAGCCAGACAGATATAAACAAGTAACTCGACAAAGTTTGATGACTGTAACCATGCTTAATTTATGAAGGAAGTTAGTTTCTCTGACAACGATGAATTGACTGGGAAATTTAAAATTGACTGTATATTGCCAAGAAAGCCAGATGCAGATACAGAGATGGCAAATAAAAGCCGAATAACAACATTTAAAAGACATAAATAATGAATGCAAATAACATACATCTATTAT